TATCATCATTTAGACAAACACAAAAATAGCTGTGGAGATATATAAAAATAACAAATTTCAGCCTATGAGAACAAATTGTGCCTTGAATTACTGTTCCTCCACACATAAATATAAATGACTGACACGTTTCTCACAGGATTTTGCCAAGTTCAGCCTAATCTGAAATAAAGTATAGAATCTGATATGAAGGGAAATACAATTAATGGGATTTTTGTCACTGAGAGGCAGAAAGGGAGCAGGATCCTGGGAGTGTGTGAAGCAGAGAGCTGGTTGTTAAGAACTGCATACAGAAGATATATCATAGTCCAGGCACTTCTGTATTACTCTCTTGGTATTTAAATACTTGGAAGATGTATTTAGAAACAGTGGACCCTTGCTTTGCTTTCAGTGAATGATGATCTAAGAATATTTCAGAAAGAATGGCAGTGTTTCCTCTTGAAAGCTGATGAAGAGAGTGCTTTAAAAGCCTTAGGAAGCATATCTGTAATTTCTGTTGAACTTTGTTGCACGTAAGGCCAAAAGGGAGAATGGGGTAGAGATCTTCAGAGGGACTCGGACATTCAGATCAAGTTGTGATCCCAAAATCTAAGAACTTACTTTTCCTTTGTAGGGGAAAAACCCTTTCTGTGTGAGGCACAGGGATGCGGTCGCTCCTTTGCCGAGTACTCCAGCCTTCGGAAACATTTGGTTGTCCACTCAGGTAAGAGTCTTCACCTGACATTCTGTGACCTATCTGAGAAAAGATCCGTATTGTAGGACTTTGATTTGATTTCCTTAAGAAAAATCCCGTGGTTTCTACAGGACTTCTGCTGATAGTGTTTCATGACTTCCTTTGTGGTGCCTATAGCCTGTACACTTCAGTCTTTTCTGTTGTTTCTGTTTCTAAATTTTATGTTTCTAAATTCAAATTACATTTTTAAAATTATTTTTTAAAGTTGTTTCTAAACTGTCATTAAGTTTAGATATCTGTTTCATAGCTGCCATTTTCTTATTTAAAAGAGAGAATCTAGCACCTCAAAGCCATTCAAATCTGAAATCTCTCATGAGTCGTTTCTGCCATAGGTAGGGTTTTCGTTTATTTTTTAATGCTACATACTTGTAATTGGACAAAGCATTAGATGTAAATGTATTTCACAAGTGTTTCAAAGCTTCTGCCTTCTGTTTTGATTGATCTATCTTAAATATCATCAGCACATAATATGGCTTGTTTGGGAAAGGGGAAATTTTATTGGGGTAGTAACTTTTGGGATTACCTGAGTTCTCCACGCTTTTTCTTTCCTGTCTCCTTGGCTTCCATGCTATTGAGCTCACACATATGGACATCATACTTCTTGTACTGTGAAAATGGTAGACTGCTCTGTAAAATGGAAATCCTTTCACAGTGACAAGTCATCATCCCGCCTCTTGTTTGGGGAAGGGGAAATTTTATTGGGGTAGTAACTTTTGGGATTACCTGAGTTCTCCACGCTTTTTCTTTCCTGTCTCCTTGGCTTCCATGCTATTGAGCTCACACATATGGACATCATACTTCTTGTACTGTGAAAATGGTAGACTGCTCTGTAAAATGGAAATCCTTTCACAGTGACAAGTCATCATCCCGCCTCTACCCAGTAATGTAAACCAGATGCTGCAATTTGTTGTGTGATGGCAGGGGATAGCTTCCTTGCCTCTGCTTCCTTGCTTTTGGTCATTTTATTCTAGGTATGGAATATCAAATATTTCCATGTCAGTGAGTAAGAGATTCCAAATAACTTGTTCCCTCTTATAAATCAGACTTGAAGACTTTATGTTACTCTTCAGACTTGAGACTTCCAACAGGTGGCAATACTGATACCTAAAACTCTTCTGTTCTGGAAGCTTATTGCTCTCCAGGAAACAGTAATATTTCTCATTTGTTTTTTTCACCGATAATGAGCACCAGTGGTGTCAAGAGCCATTTCAAAACAGTATTATTGGCTTCATCATTGATGAGGTCTTTATTCCCAATTTGGTAATTCTTGGGATATTTTTTCCCCTTCTACTCCAAGGAGTGAAGCCCCATCAGTGCCAAATTTGTGGGAAGACATTTTCCCAGAGTGGTAGCAGAAATGTGCATATGAGGAAACACCACTCCCGAATTGGAACAGCTGGCAGCAGAGAGCGAGAACAGCCAGGTAAGGAGGGAGGGCACTCTCTGTGGGGGAGAAGTGCAGGAAAGCATTAGTGGATGGTCAAAGAGAAAGGAGGATGTTTGTCCCGAAAATACAAGACCACAAGCCAGTAAGGAATAAAAGACTGTTCCTCCTGGAGATGAGGATGGATTGCTCACCTTCCCCTTTTCTAGGATAGAAGACAAATGTGTATTTCTGTATTGTTGTCAAGGGGCAGATAGGTTTATTGTTTTCAAAATTAACATGAATCTGGTATCTTTTCTTCCTATGGAATTTGTGCCCTTCGTTATGTATTCTAGTTGTAAGAAGCCTGGTTTTTTACGCAGTGCCAAGCCTGCATGAGATCTCACCATACTAAGGCTCAAAACAATGAATATAGGAGTCACCATCCCTTGGAGCGCTGGATGCCCAAAGAGTAGGAACGGATAAAATAGGTGTCTAGGGAAGAAGTCTACATGACTTAGAGGCGGGCAGGGATTGTATCATATATTGCAGTATCATTACATCATGAGAATTTTGTTTTACCCTTTTTTTTTCACAATAGAGTCACTGATGGGCAGCAGTTTGCTGGAAGAATCTACAGTGCATAGTAAAAATCTCATCCCCATGAACTCTCAGCCCAGCCTCGGTGTTGAGTCTCTGCACCTGCCAGACACTGAGTCTATTATTGGAGTAGAGGAGGGTGAGACCAGCTGCTCTTTCTTCCGCCCTCTTATATGTGGTGACTGAAGTGGGATCGATCCGTCCTCCGAGAGGCTCACCATGTTGCAGTGGGATGAGTGAACATCGCTTTAACTGTGCACAGGGCAGGTGGGTAGATGGAGAATGAATCATAAAACTGGAGTTGGAGGAGACCTACCGGACCAAGTTTCTCTCTTGCAGAGCTTAAAAGGTGAAGTCTGCTGCTTAGGTGTCATTTAGCCCATGTCGTGGAACGCCATTTCAAAACTGTTTATGCAGTCCCTTCTCCTAAAGCCTAACGCGTTTGTTTTGCTGGAGCACCTAGGAGCCCCAGTTAAGGACCAGGACCTCATTGTGCTAGGCACTGTACAAACATTCAGTATCTTGAGCAACAGGCCTTCCTTCCATCCTTTACCTTCAGAGACTATATTCTAATACATCTCACTGTCAGAAGCTGACTTACTATCTGAAATAAATGTACTACTTGATATCATTTAATTACATTTGCTGTGTTCTTTTCCTGCTTTCCCCAGTCACTTTTTCCTCCAAAACTTGGTGTATCAAGCTCTTTAAATGAGTCTACCACGTAGATGTTTTGAATTTTTGTTAACTTACAGAGTTTCTTCAGAATCGGGATTATTAAGAATGCAGAGTTTTGCTAAGATACTACACGTCTATAACAGCTCCTATGCGAAGAGAATGCTTTTAGTTTATATTGCTCCCTAGCTGAATGTAAAGGTAGTGCTACTGTCATTAAAGGTATTGTAATCTGGAGGCTCTTGCAGAAGCTCCACCAGGTACCTGTAAAGCAGGATCTGATGTGGTTTGGCTACCACCTCATAAATTGATGGGAGATGCTCTAGTGAGATGTCTTCTTTACTACAGTATTTTTATAGGTCAACTGAACAGGCTGTAATTCCTTTAACTAAAAATAACAAAATATTTCATAAAATGCAAAAATCCAGAGCGAAAGTGGAAATTCTTTATTTCCATACCATTTTTGAGATATATTAAGAGATTACAAATCTCTTTTAGGATTACAGAAATGTAATCCTACTTTCAGAACAACACTGTTTAGCAAGAAAGGTGCTAGTGAGTTTCAGTTAGTTTGATGCTTTTACTTTCATCACCGTTTGAGCAATTTCTGTTTAGGGACCAATATTAAGACTTGGATTTATCTGTTACTGTATTCACGCATGTCACCTTGGTATTTGTTAAAGGGATACGGCGTAATACCATATATTAATTTAAAGGCAAGCCTGTGTTCCTCCTTTCTTAAGGTTTTCTTTTACACTTCACATACTTGGAAATTTCTTTTTCCAGCATCATCAAGTAGTATTATGGAAAGTAGCAAACAATTTTAGTAAATACCCCTTAAAATGAATGCATTGAAATTTCCCTCCCACTGCTCCAGATATACCCATACAAGCCCGATGGGCTTTAGACCACAGACTTGGAGCATGGAAGAAATCTTCTTTCCTTCCCCTGTCAATGTGACAAGGCATGGTGACAATATGATTACGTCACTGCTTTTTTCCAGCGGACACAGGAGAAAGAACAGCCTTTGTGTGTCCTACATAATTAAACCTATGTAGAAACCGGTACACTGGTAACAGCCTTCCTTGAACCCTCTCGGGTGCTGAAGCCTCTTGTCAGTGTGGAAAGCCTCTACAGTGACGGAAGTATTTCCAGCCTGGTGAAGGGCTGCATTCCAGTCTGTGACACAGCACTCAGCAGATGCATTGCGTAGAACGCTCTTCAACTGGAAAGGGAGGAAAAAAGGAAAAATACAAGCCTAAACTTAGATTTGTTGGAGATCCTTTGGGTCAGTAAGGAGGACTGCTGCAACCCAATGCGTTCAGCTATGTATCAGCATGAATTGATCTCTGTGGAAGTATAACATAGCAGCCTGAAACCCCGGGGCCATAAATTCTTGGTTCTAGTACTTTGTTATGATCAAAAATACCATGATCTCAGTTTTATATCTTTATTTAATGTGGTAGCTCTTACAGGCATCGTATTTCTGATTTGATGGTGAGGTTTTGTTGTTACAGCGTAAGGAGAAATGGGTTGAGGTAACGAAGATGAAGAGACACTTCTTCCGTTTAAAAAGTGAGGAAAAGATGATCGATAAAGAAATTGGACAATGCAAAAACATTGATAGCCATTTAAAAATCTTTTAATCTCAAAGTGCTCCGATATCATAATTCTCAGAAAACATTCCAGGTGGTAAGGGTTTGTATTTTTGAGATCGTTATTACTGTCAGGTAAAGGAAGACCACTAATGTGTGAACTATACCATTTGAGATGCCCCAGGCATTTGAGTGCAACTTGCTGACAGGTAATACCTAATCTTTCTTCCACCGAAGTCCACCTTTGATATCACAGTAATTGTAGAATTAGGACAACAGCAATCCGAAGTGATGCGTTGTTTAATTACAACCTTCTTCATAATTTTGGTTGTTTTTCAGGCCAAATTAATGACCTAAATTGGTAAGATGTTAAAACAGTTCCAAATAATGAAGTATGGGAGATATTTTAGTATAGAAAGACTATTGCTTCTTCCTAATGGGAGGAAGGAGCAGAGCTGGTAATGAGTGAATGAAGAGTTAACACCAGAGAGGGACTTCCCTCTGAGTCTTCTCCCAAGGTAGGTCAAATCCTGCAATTTTTTTTTTAGAAATACCTTGTTTAAAAGCATTCTACCACATGTATGTATAAACCAAGGTTTAGCACACTGAAAGACATGCTCTCCCCTTTCTGTGTGCTTCCGTGGCATGAACACAAGGAGCTGACACTGGAGGCTGTACCCCTTCAATCTTTTCTATCTGCTTTTATCCAAAGATAGTGCTTCAACCTTTTTAACTTGTTTCCCATTAAAGAAAGAGAAGTGGCTCACACAGGGAACACTTATGAAGACCAAGGAAGGCTGCAGGGTTTGCTGGGTTGGACAAGACATGTTCTAAACAACAGCTGGTCTTTTTTTCCTTTACTAAGTTCTCACATCTCACTTACCCCAGAGCAATTCGTAGGTGTCAGCCTAAACCAGAAAGTTCCCGAGGATTAACCTGGAGAATCTTGAATTAAAAAAATCAAGAGATGATCGATGGATTCTTCTGCTAGATCTCACGTTGCCACTTCCTTTCCGCTCTGTTCCTCTTGAGGTTCTCCTTCCTGTACAGTACAGTCGTCCTTTTCACCCCGAGACTTCGGCGCTCTGCAGAAATAGCGATAGTCTAATACCGGAAATGGTTTGCAGTGCTTACTTGCTGCTTTGCCCCATGCATAAGAAATAGAGTGCAGTCATAGGAGTTAAGATAGAGAAGCTGTGATGCTTAATAAGGCGAGGGAAGTTGATTTAATTTTGCCTGCACTAGATGATACAAACCGGAACGCTTTCACGAACAAGGAAAATATTTCTACTCAAAGGCAAAAGAGCTGTATTGCATTGTTTTTATTACCTGTGAACGTCAGATTCTTCTTCCAGCAAGTCAGTGGCATCTTTCCCTTTTTTCCTTACAAATTCTTCGCTTAGCCCAACCTGCTGGAGGGTGTGTCTGTAGCGACGCTCTGCTCCTTGACGAGCATCATGCTATGAAATCGAAACTTAAACAGTAAGCACGTAGAACTGGGGCTTCCCCATAATGGTCAAGTTGTTTTAAAGTTCATGGCTGACACTCCTGATGAAAACAAGAGGACAGCAAAGCCCCCGTCCAGAATTTTTGTCATCCATACAGTACAGTACCAAAACTGAATACTAGGAGAATGTCTCACATCTCTCAAAGCCAGAGCTCACCTTTTCCTGCTTCTGTTCTTTTTTTTCTTCCTTCTTTTGTTCTCCTGCTTCTACAGCATTCCAGTCCTACCAGGCTAGCATATTTGTGTCCGAGTCCTGACTCTGACACTCAAATTGAGAATATGTGCAAAAAAGGGTTGTGAGAAATTCTGGAAACATGTTTGCTTATAATTTGTAAGCACTAACGACAGTGGAGTTCAATAAACGGGGAGCACCTGTGAAATAGCTTCATATCAGCTCATCTTTAAGAAACTGAAAACCAAGCGTCCTGGATCCTATATCCTCACTGCCTCCAAATAATAAACCTTGCAAATTAATGTAGTCTGAGATGACGGTTTTCCAGAGGGACTGGCCAGTTCCTAAAGATTAAGGTGTTCCATGTGGAAGGATAAAAATCTTGTCTCAACATGAGTGAATGCTATGGATACTGGTGAAATCTTAGCAACCTGACAAACAGAAATGTTACCGATATTTATCATACAAATGTGTTCTCTGCCTCCATTAACCACTCATGCGAACAGAAAGTCTGACCCAGGAGGGTACTTTCTATTGAGAAATCTTAAATCGGCATGTTGTCAATGTATTGTCACTATGTCTCTAACCAGGTATGTCCCTGCAAGGAGACAGAACTGAAAGCCAAAACCCCGGGAAAAAGATACTTTGTAGAGAGTAAAGATTGTATCTACACCTCAAGGGCAATAAAGATGTGCAGATGGTACTGCGTGATGGGGGAGATGTGCTGAACGCAACCCCAGATAGCAGAGCTTGCAGGCGATGTAAGCGACGTAACTGTCATTAATGTTTTTCTAGTAGCACTAGAGGTACAAAGAAAAAGTGCTCAACTGGAGAGGGTTTTAAGAAAAAAAGTTTAAAATTTCTAGACTATAGGCTATGGTATTCAGGTGCAGAATAGGTATTCATGTAATTTCTGGTGTGATAAGGCCTTAATTTTGATCAGACCATATATTTTGATTGCAATATATACTAGGGACTGGAAAGCTTTACGACCAAGAAATAAGTCCGAGTGTTTTTTCAGGTGGTGGGAAGGAATTTAAATTATACTTGGGTGGCCTTCCAGGTGTTATTTTGAGTGTAGTCAAGAGACTACGCAACCATTTGCACCTTCTTATCCGTGCATTAACTTGAGACTAGATTTCTTAATGCCTGTCTTAAATGAAAGACAATGTATCCTGTTGCCCAGAAACACTCTGGAACTTTGACCAGTTACCTTGGTGACTTGTTCAAAGAGGTATGGTCTGTTCTTGACTCGCAGCTGCATTTCTTCCAGCTCCTTTCTGTATTCCTTTGTTCTCTCTCTCATATTTTGCCTGAAATGGAAAAGTTCCCTGTCTAATACAGGTTTCTTCTGACCGTAGCTGATCAAGAACGAGGAATTCTCAATAACTGTGTTGTCCTTTAATAGCTCTGGTGATTGTCTTGATTCTGAACGCTGGGCAAAATGCTGCTATTGCTGGCAAGTTATGGACCCATTAGCAAAGCTTTACTACTACAGTGTAGGCAGAGAACCAGTGTTCATGTTTTCAGAAAACCTTATCTTATGTGGGCTTTACTGAATTATACGTTTCAGTTGGCTTGTTTGTACAAATTAGTTTCTACAAATGTTAATCTAAAGGAAACTGTTCTGTAGAAAAAGAGTGGAATTGTTAAGAAATCCAAATGGATGTGGAATGGGTATCACAGCCAAAAAAGTTAGGCTAGGAATGTTCTTAGACCCAATTCCTCCTAAAGAATTACCTGATGATCCCCAGTTAGCAGAGCAAATGGTTATCTCTGTGCATAATAGGATACTGACCAGTTCTGTTTCGACTTCTCCTTGTGTGTTTCCTCCAGGCTTTTATGCGGATCCAGGGCTTTTGCTCGGCTGTTCACTGACTTTTGGATAGCTTGACATTTCTTTTTCTGTTTCTCCAGCCAATAAATTCCTTCTTTGTCCCCTTCCTTTTTGTTATCTTGGGAGTATCTACATAGAAAAAAGTTATTAATGAGCTCACTTAAGACTGCCAGACTACATGCTAGCGGGGAATTTCACTTTTGTAGTCCTCTAAGGAGAAAAGCAAAATGTCAGACATACGAGTGTGCAGCTCCCAAATCAACTGGGAGGCAGGGCAAGAATTAGAAAAGAAAGAAGACAGCCAAACATTTAGGAAAAGTATTGTTGATGTAGTTGATGTGATGAGGGAAAACATTGACTTTTTTCCCTCCATTTTGGTCATTAGTTGGTGTATGGTCTTGTAGACAAACTTTTCTACTTACCTAATAGCAGATTCCCTTTTTCTAGCTGCATCTGTAATATGCACTGGAAGGGTGTTGGAAGAGAGAGAGGAAAGTCCGGTCAGAGAATGACTTTTTTGCACTGAAACCTTGCAAAGTTGCTGAGAATCCTGAAAAAAATGGAACTTCATTCAGTGTATTTGTTCACAGTACAGAATCCCCTCTGTTCTTTGTCTACCAAAGAGAACAGTTGGGGTATGTGGGCAATGCACTCATTCTTCTCTCTTCCATCAGTAGGGATTTACATGGGAGGGGCTAAGGGATGAGGGGAAGGAGACGTGATTAGGAGTATGGAAGGGTGGCTGAGCCTTCGCTGTCATAGCTCATCTCTTTGTGTAGAATTTTGTTCTCTGGTTTGTCCTAGAATTCTGCAGTACTCCCAAGACAAGGGCAGAGGTCACAGGACACTAACCATCCATAAATAAATGCTATAAATTTAAGAAGGTGCCATCTTGATCAGAGAAAGCAGTACCACAGAAATATCCAGTCATCTCACCTTTATCTTTTCATTAGCCTGCCTCTGCCTGCCACGGAGATTGGAGGTTCTTAGCTTGAATGGCTTATTACGAGTTGCCTCTTTGATTTCTTGTCTCCTTACTGCTTCCCTCTGAAATGCCCAGTAAAGTCCTTCAAAATCCGGTATTGTTGGATTGATCCTTGGCTTGAAGCTGAAACTTTTGTCCTGCAAGAAGCCAAGTCTCTCCTGCTTAGTTTTAGTGGCAGTTCGGGACTGAGGCTCCCTCCGACAGTTGCTAGTATTTATAAGAGCTGCGGAGCTCTCAAGCAAATCCTTGGCTCTCATTTGAATGCGGATTTCTCTGTAGAGTTCAGCTTCTAATGAATCAAAAGCAAAGCAATGAGAAGAATATGAGTGACATAAAAGGCTGTGAAATTGCCACTGCACAACTCTCAACTTTTCTTTATGATGGCAGCTACACATATAGGAGCGACCAGCCATCCTGTGTTCTTTCCCCACTTTCCAGCCTCTCTCTCTCCTCTGCCTCCCAGGAAGATGTTCAAGGATACCAGAAAAAAACATGTCTCTTTCTTAGGCATTAATCTCTAGGTATCTCTTTCACTTATCAGAGAAAGTTACTGAACAGGCCTTCTCCTACTCCTGTTCTTAGGGGTACCAGATAACTTGTGCCCTTTGTCTTGCAGACGTGTTGTGTTAATCAAGGTTCTACTTTTCATACGGGACTTTATGTCATTATGTTGACTGTGTGATCCAAACGGGCTGTTCAAATATACTTGTAAGGGATGATGGCTTTTCTGTGTAATATCCAGCAGTGTTTGTCTATATTGGAAAAGATTTTAAGGAGCATTTGGTGGATGGATCATGTCCTGTGACTTTTGTGACAAACTTTCCATGGAAAGAATGTGCTTCAGGGTATAATGTCAAACTGAGTCCTTGCCTGTGTGGCACTAAATATTTGAGAAAATGCAAACAGTTGGCTGTGGGGGGTTTTTTTGCTTTTAGAAAAAAAAAAAATCAATACTGCTGTTTGCAAAATAAGACTTTTTTTCAGTCTATTTATAAGTTTGCATTGACTGAGGTATGAAATGTTCATTCCTCCTCCCTTCTCATATACCAGATAGAAACAGAACAACGGCTTGTCCTTTGCTCTCTTTTACCTTTCTAATCTATTTAGTTTAGTACACCACAACAGAATGTTTTCTGATGAAAACTGAACTGGTGTATACTCAAGAAGCAATTGGTGGGAAACAGTAAAAAAAAAGGGGCGAGAAAAGCAATGAGGGTTATCAAGGGCTGGTTTAGTTCCTATATTCAAGCGTGAAGTCTGTATTGCTTAGTTCAAACTTACAACTGTGGGGGCTTAAGCCATCTGAAAGAAAGCGAGCATCAGGAAAATTTCCTTGGCTGTCCCTCTGACTAGAATGGTCCTGGCACCTACCTCCCTTGTTTTAGCACTTGAATAAGGAGGTGGAGAGCAAGTGGGAAGTTAACTGAAAACATCAGAGAATGGCAGGAGAGACTGCACTACTGCACTATCACTTAGAACCGAACTAATTGCCTGATTTGGACTCAGGAAGTATTTTTCTCCGAGGGGTCCTGTGCAGCACAGATCACTTGGGTGGGAGTAAAATTGTCAGTTCCAAGATACTGCATGGACCTTGGACACTTCTGGCACTACATCTGTCTTCACATTTGTGCCACAAATCATCTAAGTCCCTTTAGCATAACCAAAGGTATGGAATCCAGTGCAGGGAAGGATTCCCAAACTGTCATGACTTGCAGCAAAAGGGGTATGGAAATCTGTCTGAAGAGCTCAATGTACCCATGTGCGCTGGGGAGTGGCACAGAACTGCCGCTGCTGACACTGATACAAGACTACTAAATTTAGGACACTCTACTGTAAGGGTATCTAGATGAAATGTAATGACCGGTGATACAGGAAACACCAGGGGAAGTAATGATATTGACTTTACACTCCAAGTAACGCCCTGTGGGCCATGATCCTACTTCCCAGCATGGAGACAGCGAGGGACAGGCAGGGAGCTGTTTTTACAGGAAGAGCCCTGGCATTTTACCTTTGAGTTTCTCTCCAAGAAGTGGTTCATAAGTAGATTTAGGAACTTTTTTACTGGCTTGCTTCTGTTTGGAGCTCTCATTTGGGGTTGCTGCCGCCAGGAACTTTTGTCTGATAGCTTCTTTCTTTTTCTCCTCCTTCTCCAGGAAACTGAAGGGCCGCTGGGTTGAAAGTAGCAGCTCCTTTCTTTTCTGCGTTGCTATTTGCCTACGGATCTCATTCTGTTCCATTATTTCCTGATAAAGGGGCAAAAACACATGGGCAGGTACAGGCTGTGCCCGGAATTGTTTCTGACATTCAGCTTCGTCCTGGCTTTGCCTTTTGTCTCTCTGTTTGTCTAGTTCAAGAAACACGTATGACTTCATCAACTGGGACTTTTTGCGAGCTTCCCGCAGTGTCATTTTGAAGGGCTGAGGGATGGTGATGGAAGGAATCCAGGGAGATGAAGCGCTTTTTGGCCTCAAGCGGGATTTAGGAAACAAGTGAGGCTTTTGCTGATCCCAGGTGCTGTCCGAGGTGAGGTCGATCAAAGAACTGGACTGCCTTTTGTTGCCAGATGTACGACTAAGACAAAGACATTATGAAGGGGAAATAAGGGAAATTGTTAAAAAACAGAATTAAAAGAAGGAAGACATTGTTGATTAAGAGAAAGGCACTGTAGGCTGAGCTGGTCATTAAAAGACAGGCCTAGGGCTTATCGTTCTCGGGCTCTATATTTTGCTTTGCTACCAAAGTTTGTGAGCAGAGCTTTGCTTGTTTTCTGTTTTCCATGTATAAAATGGCAGTTATGCCTACTTAGCTTTGTAATGCAATTTATTACGCTGCTAGCACTCTATTGCCAGAAGGGCCACAAGTAAACCAGAAAGTTCCAACTTTAGGGATATCTAGCTGATAGCTCCTCAACATAAAAGACAAACTCAGGGGAGACAATAAATTAAGCACAGAGATGCACAAATCCAACAAACAGTTCCAAACAGCAGAATTCTTAAGATGCTGATTGAAGGGCCATTGCAAGGTACTGCTTTAGTGCAACACCAAAGAGGTTCAGCTGGAAACTTTGTAGCCAGTAGGAAGACCATATAATTGATAATCAGAAAAAAACCCAAGACTATCATGGGTCTCATTGAAACAGCAAACTTCTCATAGGATGTTTGAGGGTGATTGTGAAACTGAGTAAAACTTAAGAGATATTTAGGGAAGGAATAAATGCAGGTAAAAGGAAGGATCAAGGTGGATCAGGATGGACCAAGAATAGGAAAGTGGGAAAAAGGGAGGAAACGGAAGGTGCCAGTCATGTGTAAACAGGCTCCTGGTCAATACACTTGCCTGGTGATCGCTGCAGTCTGTTCTTCTTCATAAACTATTTCCTTTGTAAGAGCGTGTGTGTGTGATCTGCTAGCGAACTTCAAGCTGGACTAACCACAGAGAAAGACCAGAGGTCTGAGAGCTAGACAGACATGGAGACACCACAGCTCTGAAGACTGGATGCTGGGTAGAAACGCGTGTGATCTGCTAGCAAATTTTAAGTGTGAGTAGCTGGTGAGCAGGAACGGGATTTGTGCTGTTCGTGTTTTATGTGAATGCTCCTTACGTGGGCACCTGCCGGCCCCATCCTCGCATCTGTGAATACGTTTGTGGCCAGCATGTTGGTACCATACACGTGCACCTTGGGGACTTCATGCTCTGCCTCGTCACTGGTCAGAAGCAGCAGG